GCGTTCGATTCCCTTGTTCGTCGAATCGTTCCACAGAGATTCAAAGGTTGATACTCCTATTAAAAGACCAATCCTCTAAAACTACCAGGCGAGTCAGAACCGCTCATCCCTAATCTCACCTTCCAGTTATCAAAAAGAAACGTTTCTCCGAAGAACCGTTAAACAAATCAGCAATACGTCAACCGAACGACGAGTCAATTAAAGCCTCGACACACTCTCTGGTTACAGAATTTCAAAAAGTCAATTTATCCGCTCGATAGGTCCTGTTAATCATTCAACGGTCGAACGCCTTCCGTCGCTTAACCGAGCTCGTCGACAGGCCGCGACGCGGATAACGCGTTAATTTATGCGAACTGCGCGGATACTTTCGTAATAAACCGAGGCGAACTCGGCGCCAAGAACGCAACGAGGCCGTATCGACGCGCGGCGCGCTTCGTTCGGGCCGAGTGTCAGTTCAGAACGCGGCGATCCGTGCGTAATGAACGGCAGAGAACCACGCTCGAGAGCGCGAGTCAGCCAGCCGACCGCTGTCCGTTGCACATGCACCGATGCAGTTGCACCTGGCCGGAACGATCCTTTGATATCGGCCGATTATCGTATCGCGACGGATTTCGCAATCGGCCTCGCGCCGGTTGCAATCGACAGGCTCGCGGTTTATTGGTCGCGCCAGCGAGTCGAGCACGCCGCGCCGCGCGTCGTCCTCAACGTTTCTGTTTCCCATTAAACATCGTTTTTCCTCGCGCACCCTGCCCTGCCCCGACTTGCAGCGTTTCCTTTGACGCCGCTCCGCGACCGTCGCTGCCCCCGGACAGAGCTACGAACGCTCGATCGAGCCCGTTCCACAGAATTTTACACATTCAATTTTCCACTCGGCTCGCCGGGGTTTGTTTAACGATTAGAAAGTGCCGTTTAATCCCGGCCACTGTCCGATCGGACCGAAACTAATCCCCGCACTGCGGTCGCGGCTTTACAGGCAGCCTCGCCGGCCAATTTTCGCTCTTTGAAAATCCACTGCCCTCCCCGCAGTCGCGACTCAATCATCGTCGCTCGCTTTTGTCTGGCGCTAGAAATCGACCGGTTCCGCTCGGAATCGACGTCGAACGAGTGTACGCGTATCTAGGAAAGACGACACGCGATTATGCAACGCCTCAACAGGTTGCTTTTAAAGGCTTCGCTGTCAAAGAGCGCGCAGCAGGATCCTCCCCAGCTGGTTCCCCGGACAAACGTTTTTTCGATCGATCCTAATTCAGACGGAAGCTTCGCCGACTTCCCGATTGGCTCCGGGCATTAGGGGCGCCTGACCGTTTACGAAACGCGAGAACTTTCTCTAGATAAGTTTCCCCGATTGTCCTTAAAGCAACCATCCGTGCGACCCTTTGTCTCCGCGTTCCCTTTGTCTCGTCCCGTAATTCGCTGTACATCCACGGTTCGCGGGGTAAACATCCCTTGAACTAAGATCCTCCGCGTTGCTAGCTACCAGCGACGATTAAGAAGATAAAGATCTAAAATGCGCACCGATGGACGACTACTCTAATACATCGATGCGTACAGGCAAATTTCTAACACAGATACTCCCAGATTACCCAGTTCGATTTCATTGAAAACCGAGCAGCACCCGTTGCTCTTTTCTTCCCGCTCGATGATAAATCCCCGTCGAACGTCGCGGCCGATACGAATGACGAATTAATAACCCACCGCTCGCAATTACGTCGCACGATCGCGAGATCGTCGTCCGCAATAATTCTTCGGCGAGGGGGGGATGTCTCCCGGAGGTTCTCATTCGGCGCGGCGCGAGGGTCGCGGAGGGTGAACGCGTAAACACGGAAGTGCACGGCTCGGAAGGCGTTCCGCGGCGGGCCGAGATGAATTATGAATTCGCCGCGATCCTTCCATCGGGCGTAATGCTTTCCCGATACTCGCGGTTCCGCCGAATAACCGTACAAGTCCGCGGATCAGCGTTCCTCCGGCTTCCCGAGAGCCGGCCGAACGCGTATAAGTACCGCGCCGGCGTTCCCCGGCAGCTTCCGGAGATATTTCAAAGAGCCGGGACTCTTTCGCGGCAGTTAGGACGCCCCGTTTTTCCGCGATTCTTCTTCGCGATCGCGCACCGACCGCGAGAAATATTTTCCCAACCGTCGAGCATCCTCCGCCGTGTAAATACTGGTGCGCTCCGTTGATCCGCGATTCGATCGGAACCGGCAATCCCTGTTCCCGCGATTCTCCCGGCCGATTTCGCCTGAATGTCGATATCAATCCGCCGGTTTTTAAACCGCGCCCGCGGCTCGCGACGCTCGGTCGCAGCCCGCGCCCCATCCCACCGTTTCCCGGTCGGATCCCCGTCGCCGGCGGGTTCCATGGTAAATTAAGCAATCCAGCGACACGCCCGCGTGAACCCCGCCGATTCAAAGACCGCGGCAAGACGTAGTCGCGCGGCGCTGATGCCGTCTCATTCACGGTTTCGGATGCCTGGCGAGCCACCCCTCTTCTCCAGCCCTCCCGCGCAACCCGGGAACCGCAAACCGATCGCTCCGGACTTATCGCTTATCCGGATAGCTTCCGGAAGCGTATCTTAACGGCACGACAGGAATGCGCCCGGGGGAAACTTTTATTCGGAGGGACTCGGCAACCGTCTAGACCCGTAATCGATCGGGCATCGAGCGCGACTCGATGGTTCCTTTCGTCGGCGAAATACGCGCAGCGCGCGTGAACGAGAGAATGAAGCTGAAGTTGTCGGGATGGAGTACGATCCGCGGTGAGACGGGATCGAACGAGGTGCGACGAATTCTGTCGGGGGCGACTCTGATTTTTATTGGTGGAGCTTTCATAGATGCGACGAGGGCTTCGGTATTTCTAAGGAAGCGTATTAAAACTATTGAAACTATCGAAACACTAAATTGAACTAAATCAATCTAAAATGATCTTATGTAATGACTAACAGATGTTATTGTTCAATTCACTTACGTCAGATCTGAACGAGCTTTGGTGCAATTATCATCGATAACATTTTACGTGCGCCTGTGTACACCGAAACCAAATATTTAAATTGCCTTTAAGCGACGATAGTGGTCAATATTTTCTTTCATTTCGCGCGACAGCATCCGGTTTTACATTTATCGCTCGGCGTGGCAATTATCTACTACATTCAGCAGACATTCAATTTCCCGCCTAGTAAGTTCACGAGTGCTTCCTCTAAACAGTCCAAACAAATCGATGGTTCGTATAACGAGGAACATAACAAGCGTGCCACGCCGTCAGGTACCCGAAGATGGCGGAAGAGTATCGAATCTTTTCTCCGTGTTCCGAGCCGCCGCGCCTCATCTAGCGCCAGAAAAGAGCGGAAAACGCCCGCAAGGCATGAATGGTCGCCGAATATCATCCTCTTAGCAACAATCTTAATCGTATTTAAAAGTTATTCGCTAACCTGTGCACGGCGCGCGGAGAAGGGGGTTCCTCCGTCTTCTTCTAGAGCCGATGGGCCGCTGCCTGAGCGCTACAATCAACCTCTCGTCATTCTCGAAAGCAACCGCACTAAGCGCTCTTTGAAAGCTCACAAAGGAAATTAATTCCTCGAGTGAAGCTCCCCTGCGGAAGATTCCGGCGTGTCCGAGGAGGCTCCGCTTCGGATGCCGCGAACAAAACGACGAGACGTTCCGCCCCTACCCCCGTGACGGAGGGCGGTTAGACGCCGCGCCGCGCCGGGTCGGAAGAAAAGCCGAACCGAGGCGAGCGGCTGCCTGCGCGGAGCCAACTGGAGCGAAAGGGATGAAGATGCTAAGGGAGATCGGGGGTTGGGACCGAATCCGAGAACGAGGGAGACGAGTACAACGGCACCGATCCTCGGCGCATCGTTTCTTTCGTAATTCGGAGCACCTCTCATTACCCATTACCGCTATCGCTTCCTCTCCCTTCCTCTTCTCTGTTCGTTCTTTACCAACAATCCTGATGCTGCTGGTCTCCGTTGCTCCTTAACACGTTCGCTGCCGGCGCTTGTTTCGGTGACGGACTCCTCAATTATATTTTCTTCGATCCATTAAATCTTCTAAAGACATTAGAAAAATGAAACTGAAACGAGCCGTTGAGTTCCTAAGTATAATGTGGTTTGTAATTTCTAGTAACAATATCCATAGCATTACTTTCATTTTCAATTATATTTTCTTCAGTCCAATGAATCTTCTAAATAAGATACTAGAAAAATGGAACGAACGAGTCATTCAGTTCCTAAGTATAACGTCGTAGTTCATAATTTCTAATAACGATATCTATAGCATTCATTTTATTCTCATTATGTAAAATATAGGATTACAACCGTCACAAATATATGACGCTGGTAGCGAAAGCTTCGGGACGTCTGTTTTCATATTCTAGCATCCACTTTACCGCCCACCTCCCTTTCACTTGTGTTTCTCAAGTCCATTAGTACCTGGAACATGCGAGCTGTCTTTTGTTCATGCTGCGAGATGATTCTTGTATCGGGACATCGGGCGAAATTAATTTTTCTCGAGATTTAGAGGGGTTGGGAAGATGGAGGTTTGTCTTTATACGGCGTTCTAATGCGTTCTGCGTCTGACAGGCGGACGCGGCTCTCTCTGTCGAGGCGCGCGGTCTGTTTTGGAAATACGAGCCACTCCGCCGTGCGAAAATACGCGCGAGAAAATGAAATCAATCGACTCTCGGCGGGGCTGCGCGAATTTCCACGAAAATTCCGGCGAAACCCGGCGGCATCGTTGATCCAGGGTAACCGTCGGTTTCTGGCTCGTCACGAACCACGGGAAGCGTCATCGATCGCGGGGATCGATCGTCGGCCAGCGTTAAACGCCGACGGTATCGCAGCCGTCGACTCGTTGCGCGCGGTAGCGAAAGCGCGGCCTGGAACCTGCCGCGCGGATCGCGTTGGAGATCTCTCGGCTGGTCGTCTTAAGGGTTTTAGCGAGCGAGGAAGGAAACCGGAGCATTCGCCGAGTGATTTAGGTGGTTTAATTAAAATTTCTTGTATTTTTCAGACGGAAAAAGGTGGTTCCTGAGAGAAGGGGTTGTTAATTCTGGACATTCTCCCTGCTAGATGCGTGTTAATCGTGTTTTCGACGCTGGCGCTTGTCCTGGAGCCTGCCAATCGACTTCCTTCCTACATCGAATCGGTATTAACGATACATCTAGAACAAAGTAATTCCTGATTGATCACTGTCGGATATATATTTCTATTTGTCGAGTTGTTCCATCGATGGGTTCAGTAGCGTATATATTTTAAGAGTCGTTTCGATGACGCTTCTCTGGTGTACTATCGAAAACTGTCAGTCTATCTGTTCGTAGAATCAAATGAAGTTTACTTATTCGTCTTCCTTCTAATTACTTATATCTATTTTTATCGCCACCTGCTTAGAAATAGAAAGATAGAACGATATTCAGAATGTTTCTATACGAAAATAGAAGAGCGTGATTCAGTTCCTAAGCTGAAAGTAGCAAGATAGTTAGATAATTAAGCAATAAGCAACAGCAACGAACAGGAAACTCAGTCGTAAGGCGTAAAGATAAAAAATAACGTCACCTTCGTACACGCGCGCGACACAGCCGTCGCAACTCGACACGGTTTCCGGTTGTTCCGCGAACGGTGAAAACTCGCGCGAAGTTTCCCCAGCGACGTTTAGGAATTCGCGCGAGCAAGAGGGTTCACGAGGCCGCACACGTAATATCGAAGTTGCGAGCGGGACCACGCGAGAGTTGCAGTAACGGCCCTCGGTAACGGGCACGCTCTTAACATTTCAGGAGGATGCGTTACGGCGTCGATAACGCGGAACGGTTCTCGTCCGCGGAAAGAAGCGTCGCCTCCGTCTTGACGTAAAAAGCCTAAGAAAATGTGCGGAGCGCCTGCAATCCGCCGATGAGCGATTTATCACGAGTCTCCCGACCGTCGACGGGTCGACGGAACTGCGGGAGATCCTCGATGGCCAATGATCCGTGCCGAACAGGCGGCGGAGTCCTCCTCGACTTAATGGTTGGATTTTAGAGAGATTTAGAGCCGAGAATTTGATTACACACGGATACCGTCCTTAGACGCGCGTTTTACAGAATCACGCAACGAAGGAAATCAACGTCTTCAACGATACACGTGCACATTCGATTTAACTTCAACAGTAACGTCCATCGAGACTTCCTTTCATACGTTTCTCATGAATGCCCGTCTTCGTGTTATTCAATTCGTATCAGTTCGTACGAAACGAACTGCAAGCGTACGAAAACTAGAATCATTTGCGTTCTCGAGTAGAATTCGAGTAGGTTCAAAGAAAATCTATGTATCGAATGGAGAAGTGTCCATTGCTCTCCGCGTTGGACTCGTTTGCGTGTAACATCTTCCACCTTTGTTTCTCGCGGGAGCAGGGAAAATGGGATCGTTCGATGGCGTCGATGATAGCGCGATATTTCTCGCGAGATACAGGAGCCAGCCGGCGACGATACGGCAGCGCCTCGTAGGCAGATGGAGTCAGGACAGCGTGAGATGCGCGTTACTCTCACCTGGCTTGGCCCATGGACCGTTTCCATCGGGACAGGGATGCCGGTTACCGAGCTGGCGTTCGCCAAAAGCCCCTCGACGTCTCGTCTCGGGCCCGAGCCGTCGCCCGCCCTCTCCCCCACCTCCTCCTCCTGCTAGGCTCGGCAACCCCTTCCGCGCGTCCGTTGTCCTCGAGGATCACGGATGATGCATCTTCGGGCGGGTGTACACCGCAGCCACGATATCGCGTAATTGGATTCCCGCGGTGGATTCTCTCCCTTTAAAGGGCCGAGGCTAAAGGTTCCATTGACACGGCCAATTCGGGGATAATTCGAAGGGGTTCGAGAGGCTCCAGATGCGGGGCCGTGACTCCGTGAGGACGTCCTTTCCTTCCGCGAGCGGCACAAAGGCCGAGAGGCTCTATGACCCTCGTTCGAAAGCCGTCGAAGGGCTCGCCGTACCCTGCCGCGAATTAAACGGAGCTTAATTCATAGATTAATAAGGACCAAGAGGCGGACGCGCTCGCAGACCGATCGTTCCTCCGATTCGAGGGGCCATTCTCTTCCCTCCTCGCATCCACTTTCGCGATCGATCGCGCGACCACCGACGAGCGGAATGTCGCGATGATTGCATTCGCGGTACGAACCATCGATGTTATTTATCGGGAGGCGTTATAGGTTCGCGATCAACGCGGCGTGTTTAGGTTACCGTCGGAGAGGAGTTCGCGGAATTGTAAATGAAACGGTGAAACGTGGTTAACCGAGTCTCATTTCACTTGATCCGACTAGTCCCGCTGCAGTTAAGGGATTAAACGAACGTTCGTTCTTCCGATCCGCCCCGGTAGCACGAAGAAGACGGAAGGACGCGCGGCTCGTCGAACAAGGGATTCCGGCGGGGCTCCACGGGGACGCGGTTAGACGGGTGAAAGGCGAGACAAATATTTCCACACTCTCTCGACCATTAAGTGGCACTAGAGTCGAGCGTCGCGGCGGGTGCGCCGGGTCGGCGCGATCGACAAAAGGAGAATCGCGAAATTCGCGGCCGCCTGAAAGCGGCCTGTCGCCGGGCTCCGGCCGACAAAAGGGGACACCTCTCGCGTCTCAATAAAACCGTCAGCGTGGCGGTCTGCCGCGGCGGGGGACGGCTGCCGTTATGCTGGTGACCGCTTTCATGAAATGTCGCGGCCGGGCAAAGGAGCGCGCGCCGCGGCCGAATTCCTCGACCGCGCCGGCCGATGCGGTCGCCACCATTCTGGAGCTGCGACGATTATGTCGCGCGACGGCTCCGCCCCAGAGGAACGATCCCCGTGGCGGCGGGACAGAGCCGGGACGCGGGAAAAGCGAATTTAAGAAGAGGAAGGGGGACCAAAGGGATGAGAAGGAGTGGCAGAGCGTGCGCGACCGAGCGGAAGCATATAATTGTACGATGGACATGGCTTTATAGATGGAACTGGATCCGGGACGCAACACCGGTGCCTGCGGGACGCCATTATCGAGCCGGCCAGGTGTCCTGTCGACGCCTCAAAGAAACCGTCCCGTCTCCTCCTTACGAGCGACGCTGTCTGGTCGCTTCTATACGTTTGTATACGTTGCGCTTTAGACGCGCGGCCATGTTCGGATAAAAAGAATTAACTTTCCTTTGGTTCGCCGTTTGCAAAGCTGTCATCCCCTTTGTGCGGTCCCGGCTAGGCCGGCTACACTTGTCCGGGGCCTAATGTGTCGGAAGACCATAGACTCCGGTCTATTTGGGACAACACTTTGTAACCTGGATCCTGCTCGTCATTGTGACGCTAATTTATTTATCTCGGTGGACCTGGACTCTTCCTGCTTCGTATTCAGCGCTGTATACTTCAGTAACGATACCTATTTCGCGTTTCAGAGGTTAGAAGCAAGTGAAAGTAGTTCTCTCGTGATAAACTTTAACGCATTCGTTAACTCCTCGTTAACAACTCGTAGGAAGAGCAGAAGAGGAAAGAGGGGAAGAGTAACCGAACAATATTTCTAAATATTCGAGCGAACGAGCAGGCCCGACTGATCCAATTACAAGAGCGAGCGGTGTCGATGAATGGCGCCGATCCGCTTCGCGATCAAATATAAACACGATCGTCGGACGGTTCTTCCGTTGCGTGGCCGAGCGGCTCCCGGCGCGAGAGCAGCCAGGTAAATCACCGTCGGTAGCAATTTCCCGAACTCGGTCGACGCTGCCGCGATGGAGTCCGTGAAGCGTGGCGGCAGTCATTGTATCGGTACCGTCGATGCCCCGGCCTCGATCCCGGCCGGGCTCAACCAACCCGAAACCACGTGTTTTCGTCGTGTATGATCTCCCGTGGCCTGGCATCGGCCGCCGCGCGCCTGCACGTGTGAGAGAGTCGACATCTTCTCAGCGGGGCAGGTCCGTGTTCCCTCGTCCCTTTGACGTTGGCTTCCACGAGGAACGCCATCGGACCGTGAATCCAACGCTCGCCGATGAAGCCGGCGCGGTCGCGGAGAGCCGCCGTCCCACAAATCCTGGCGTCATCTTCCCGTCCGGGCTCCTTTCCGTTCTCCTGCTCCCCGATGCGTGTCGCGGCCCTCTCCTCGCGGAGGAGCGACCGCCCCGAGACCGGGGGTAAATGAAAAGGAAGAGAATGGCTCTCCTGACGCCCTGAAAGCCAGAGATTGCCGGGGGGACGCGTAAATTATTGGATGCCATTTGGGGGACGCGTGCGAGCAGTTTCCCGGCCGCATTACAGACGCGGCGATAAATATGGAGGACGTCCGAATTGTCGGAATGTCCGGCTGCCATTTGTGGAAGTGCGCGCGTTAAGGTACTTCTGGCTGTCGTTCCCAGGCGCCGTTCTACCGTCTTCGCGAATTCTGCCGCAGTCGAACGTATCACCGAGTTTTCCGGGTGACTGGGATCCTCGGATACGATAGAATGTTATTTGCTGAATCTTCTCGAAAGATCGGTCCATTAACGCTTACGCGCCGTGTAGTCGCTGGCGACTGACGCTTTTAAATGACTAGGTGACAATCGTAACGTACGAGACAATCTGAAATGATAATAGCGTAATGCGAAGATTGTGACGCTAAATAGTTAATTCCTTTTCTTTGCCACGGAAGGGAAACTCTACGGGGAGACGATTAAGATTTTCATGACGTTTGACGTGATAATATCCGAATATCCGTGCTTGATCCGCGGAGAATCGTCTAGCGGTCTTATCACCGTCGCACTGTTCTAGATATCTGGAGGATCGAACGGTTCTGTTTCCGGTGGAATTGAAATGGAAATCGGGATCAGCCAAGTTCATGGACACCGTGGCCGCGAAGGATTTCATCGATCGCCGGAGATCCCGATGGATGAGATTCGCCCCGAGCTGAGCGACAAACCGACGGATTACAGACTCGGAGTGGTGCCGGGAGCAAAAATCCGGTGACATTGTCCGGGAATCCGAGTCGAAACTCGGCTTATTCGGTGTCGTTTCGGTGAGCCTCGTTTGAAAAACTATCGGCAATTCGCCGGCATGGACGCTCAACCGTCCGAAAAGTTGTCCGGTCTTCGCACCTGTGACGCACTCTCCCTTTTGTCCCGGTGGAACGGGGGAGATCTCCGAATTCGGCGAATCGTTAATGACACGACGCGCCGGCTCGTTAGAAGAGTTAGCCTAGCGTGATCGAATCGGTGAATACGCGAGCGGACAATGGGCCGAAGATCGTAGAGGCCGTGGGGTAGCGAAGAAACAGGGGCGCAGACTCGAAACGCGACACCTGGTTGTCTAATTACCGATCTTTAAAGGACCCTCGGAGAATCGGCCGTCCCCGATGCTCGTTAAAAAGGATGTCCCAGTTTTCGCGACCGACCGAAGGATCTGTCCCTTTCATTGCACACCGTTGCGTTCTCGTCTAACATTCATCGACTGATTCATTCATAACAACGTTCGTAATCTACAGTTAACCCTTTGCACTCGAGAGGTGACTATCTCACTCACCAATTGATTCCATACAGTGAAAGTATTAAATTTGATACTTAACCCTTTGAACTCTGTAGGCTCCAATATTGCACCAGTTCTAATATGAAACATTTCAATTTTAAGAAAACTACCTTAAGATTATTAGATCTTCCAAATATACAAAGTTCGTACTGAGAAGGGAATTAAATGTGTAACAAATGTTATAACATTGCTAAGGGTTAATATTAAACTTCGTGTAATGCATCAATTTGAGAAACATTCAAAATAGCTGTGTCCCTCGATGTAAGTGTGATTTCTCGTCAAGTTAGTTTCACAAAATATCCCCTCTGTCTCATCAGGAGACGTTGAAATATTTCGAACGAAAAACTTCCGAGCGCAAAGGGTTAACATTGAATTCCGCTCGACTTCATAGAGCAAAATACACGAAACGGGAAAAATATAATAATCATCCGATTGAATTGCATCACTATTGCACGTTGATCCACCCGAATATCGCGTTACTTATAATACATAAATGTTCTCAAATAATCCTTTAACCGAGTGAACTATAAAATCCGATTCGTGTTAAAATATCCGCATTTTCTAACGAGAATTTTCAATCGGCTACCGGAACACACGACTCGCAACGCGTTGCCTCGCGATGTCGCCGAGCAGTCTATTTCCCGCGAAGCGGCGTTTTCCAATTTCCGCGTTCCACCGTTTCCCGGGGATTCTTCGCGGCCCGAAATAAATCGAGGCCCGACGAACGGCGGGAGAAAGTACGGGGGGACCGGATGAAAGCGGCGAAAAAGAGGGTCGAGTAGAAATTAGTCGAACGCCGCGCTGCCCGTAGGACAATGAGGAGACCGGGCCGGGCACGTATCTGGCCTGGTTCACGGACGCGATAGCGATAGCTTCCTGAAGGGCCAATCAATTTTTTCCCTGCCCCCGATC